AGGCCCGCTGTACACTAGGAGCACAGTGAAAAGGAAGTGCACAGTATATCCCATAAGTTCAGTTTGGGCAGAACAGCGGTTTATAATTCTGTAGATGAGCACCTTCTCAAGACAAGGTAGGAGGGTCTTAAGTAAGCAAACGTACTCTTTCATACACTAAAGGTTAAATACATTTTAGTTCTTTTTTGAAAGAAAGTCTTCGAAAATGATTTAAACACTTTCCTGCTTTAAAAGAAAACTTTAAAAAGAAAACCATACATACAACGTAAGTCAACTGTTCCCTCCCCCTGACGTTTGTTCAGGGTAACCATTCTCAAGGTGAAGGGTACCCAGCTCACGCTTCAGGCCTCCGCATGCCTCCTGCCCCAGCCCCTTCCCTCAGCTGTTCTTCCCCTAAGCTTTGCCCTCCAACTCTGAATGACAACCTAGAAGTACAGGCATTTTGTTTGCATCAGCTCTACTGAGGACTCAGGGTGTCCGCTGGTTCCAGCAGGCTGAGGCTGCCGAAGTCCAAGGTCTGGATAAATCTGGGGGTGGGGAGACTAGCATCTTAAACTGTATCCAGAATTCTTATTTATTAATAACCTGCTGCCCGAGACACAACAAGCAGCAGCAGCTGTCTGCAAACTCTGTGGGCTGACCTTAAGCGCTGCTTATAACAATCCTCATCTCCATCGTCTCGCCATCTCACTGCTTTCCGACTTCCGCTTCCTCCGGCTTCACTTTCTTCTCCAGAACTCGGGAAAAAGTCTTCATCCATCTCCTGCACCGTGACTTTCTTCTGCCGTTTCCGACCTTTGAGCGGAGGCTTCAGTTCATAAGCGGCGCAACCTTCGGACAGGTCGGCCTCAGCCATCTTGTCCTCCTCCTCCTCGGGTAAGTACTCCGACTCTTCACTCTCAGAGGCTCCGTCCTCCCTCTTGATACCTGCTTCCAGGGCTTTGGCTCTCTTTTGCAACCCCACCTTCCCCTGGAACTGAAGAGCCCTCCTCTGGAGTTTCTTGATATGCTTTTCCAACCGCTTATCCATTTTCGAGGGAACTTTGCTTCTCTTGTTTTGCTGGTTTTCATTTAGTGTTGGATTCGACTCAGAAGTAGCCGAGGCCGGAGCTTTTCTCGTCAGTCTTTTCTTACGAGCTTGCTTCTTCCTTTCAAAAGACAGTTTTGCTTGATCTGCCAAATACTTTTCAAAGCCTGACGCTTCATTAAGCATCAGTCTTCTAGGCTTCCTCTCCTGTTTCTGAGGGATCTGGGTACCAAAAGGCGTCATCTGGCCTGTGCGGATGAGCTCCTCCCACGCAGTCTCCTGAGCCGGCATGAGCATGCTGCCCAGGGAAGACGGCCCCGGCTCTGCAAGAGCAACAACAACGCACGGGCATGAGGCTAAGTTTGCCAAGAGAACACCAGAAAGAGTCACTTATTCAATACATATTAAACCTCTTGCCACGGAGTCTATTCTGACTCACAGCAACCCTACAGGACAGGGTAGAACTGCCCAATAGGGTCTCGAAGGCTGTAATCTTTACAGGAGCAGACGGCCACATCTTTCTCCCGCAGAATGGCTGGTGGGTTTGAACCACAGACCTTTCAGTGAGCAGCCAAACACTTAACCACTGCGCCACAAGGGCTCCTTTCAATAAATACTAGGCACCTGCAAACAACTCACATAAAAAAGAAAACATCACTGATATACCAAAGCATAATACATGTGCAGAAAAGAGTATAATTTATTACGGTATTTATCATGATACATTTAATATATTCCTGTTCAAAAAGATTTCTCAATACTTTTTCTGCAAAATACTACATATATACTCCCCTGTGCATCCAAAGACAAACCTATTTATATATAACGTACAGTTATAAACACATGAGTTTAGTCATGTGTTTCCTTATCCGTGAGGAGTAGCCTATAAGGAAACAATCTCCTAAATTTCCATGTCATTGCTAATGCTAGCATTCAGATGGACTTAAATTCAACAGACGGTAAGACTGAAAACCTACATCTAAAGAATCAGCATACACCGAAGTAGGAAAAACATAAACATTAGCTCTACACTGCTCAACATGGTTGTCACCGCTCACATGTGGCTGCTTAAACCTAAATTAAAAATTCAGCTCCTCAATTGTACTAGCGACATTTCAGGTCCTTGACAGCCACATGTGGCTGATGGCCATTACACTGGACAACACCAATACAGAACATTTCCACCACGGCACAAAAGGTCTACTGGACAGCACGGTATTAGATGGATGAAGTTAACCGATGGAAGTGAGACCTAAAATTGGACGTTATGCCATAATAAGTATAAAGTAACCCAGAAACAATCCCACTTTCATTAGCTAAGATTAATCTCTGGCAAAATCAGTCTGCTATACAGCTAAAATACCAAAGGAACTAATGGCTTAAATCGGAAGGAAGCCATATTCTAAAATGTAGGATTCTTGCAGACCAGATTTTTATGAAACCTGCAGTGAAGTAAAATGTACATCAGAAAAGTGCACAGATCCTAAGTGCACAGCTCAGTGAACTGTCAGGGAGAACATACCCACACACCAGCATCCAGACCAAGAGACAGAAATGACCAGCACCCCCGGACAAGCCTGTAGAGCCCCCGTCCAGTCACCACCTCAGCCCACGAGTCATGACTACCCTGACTCCTAACACTACAGATGAGTTCTGTCTGGCTTTGAACTTTATATAAACGGAAATGTTTGTATTCTTCTGTATCTGGCTTCTTTTGCTCACCTTACGCTTGTGATATTTATACTTGTTGAATATAACTGGAGTGTGTTGATTCTCGTTGTTAGCATTCTATTATATGAATATACCACAATTTTTCCATTCCACTGTTAATGGACATTTGGGTAGTTTCCAGGTTTTGCTAATGGGAATAGGGTTACTATGAATATACCACAATTTTTCCATTCCACTGTTACTGGACATTTGGGTAGTTTCCAGGTTTTGCTAATGGGAATAGGGTTACTATGAATATACCACAATTTTTCCATTCCACTGTTAATGGACATTTGGGTAGTTTCCAGGTTTTGCTAATGGGAATAGGGTTACTATGAATATTCTGGTATACATCCTTTGGGAATGTATGTACACGATTCTTTGGGTATGTTAAACTGTAGTATACGCTGCCAAAAAGTTTTCTAAAGTGGCTGCATTAATTTTCAGTTACACCAACAGTGTCTGAGAGTTCCAACTGTCCCACACTGTTGCATGTGTAGAGGTATCACACTGCGGCTTTAATTTCCATTTCTCTGGTGACTAATGAACTTGAATACCTTTTCACAGGTTTACCGATCTTTTGGATAACTTCTTTCACAAAGAAAATGTTTAAATATTTTTCCCACTTTTCTTTTAGGCTATCTGCCTTCCTAAAAAAACTGATTGCTAGGAGTTCTTTGCCCATTCTAGATCCAAGCGCTTTGACTGATACATGTATTACAAATGCCTTCTCCCATACTGCAGCTTGCCTTTTCACTCTCTCAGTGCTATCTTGAGATGTTCTTAGTTTTAATGTAGCCCATTTAACAAATCTTTTCTTTTATAGTGAGCATTTCTGTGTCCTGTTTAATAAGTCTTTACCTACCCCAAGATCACAAAAATGTTTTCCTATGTTATATTCTCAAAGCTTTGTTTTACCATTCACATCTAGATCTATAATTCATTTGGTATTTTTTTTACACAGAGTGAGGGGTCGAAATTCATTTTATTTTCATACAGTTTAACCCAACACCATTTATTGAAAACACCATTCTCCTTCACTGCACTCAACTGCCCCCTCTGTCATAAATCACGTGGCCATATATAGGTGGCTCTCCTTGCTGGACTCTCTCCTGTCCCACTGGTCTCTCATCTATCCTTGTACCAACACCGTACTATCTACATTACTATAAAACCCACTGCTGTCGCGTCAATTCCAACTTATAGCAACCCTACAGGACAGAGTAGAACCACCCCACAGGTTTTTCAAGAAGTGGCTGGTGGATCTTAACTGCCGAACTTTTGGTTAGCAGTCACAGCTCTTAACCACTGTGCCACCAGGGCTCCTTCATTACTATAGCTTTATAATAAGTTTTGAGATTTTGTTCTGCTTCAAGATTCTCTTGGCTATTCTTGGCCCATTGCATTGCCATGTAAATTTTAGAAGCAGCTTGTTAATACCTCACCCTAGTCCACCTCTGCAAAAAAAAACCCTAAAATATATATATTTATTCTTTTTCTAAAATGATATTATAGATCCAGGGGAGGCAGCGGCAAGACAGCGGGGTAGGCAGACGCTTCCGGTGGTCCCTTTTACAACAAAGACCCGAAAAAACAAGCAACTTGACTATATATGACAATCTTTGAGCCCTGAACATCAAAGGCAAAGCTAAGGAATTGGACTGAGTGGCAGGGGGAGGGAGAGACGATTCAGAAGCAGCAAGGAGCTGCCAGACTCAATCCGGCGGGAAATGGCACCCTGCGGGCTGGATCCGTCGATGTGCGCTGTGAGGCAAGCAGTGGCGTTCGGGATGCATGTTCCACGTCAGAAGAGACCAAGCAGCAGAGAGTCTACTCACGCCTCCAGAACCAGTGAAAAGCAGTGCTCAAACGGCAAAAGGTAAGTACATGTGTCCAACCTACCACGCAGATCAAAAACCACCCCATCTGGGAAGAACCTCTCTCCCATTTATCTGTTCCCTCCCCGCTCTGCACCAGGTCCTGGGTCTGCTTCAGCGACTGCCAAGCCCCCTGGGGTGGAAGTAGGACCCATCACGCACCCTGAGCCATCCTCCCAGCTTGGAGAGGGAACAAATTAATAAACAGAAAAAATAATCTGCCAGCTCTGCTAAGCCGGGAACTCAAGGCAAGCACAGCTCCCTGGGCACAGGCATAAGGGATCCACAGACTTTGAATGCCTTTCACCCCTGCACAGACCTGTGTGGGCCCATTTCAACAGCGTAGGCCCTCATTAGCACAGTACAACAGGGTATACACCTGAGGCATAACTTCAACCGTATCAGCTACATGGTGGAGTGGCAGGTTAGTGACATTTGACACTGCCCTGCCCATTAAGCAGGGTCCTCATGTACCCACATCCGGGGCCTGAGGACTGGTGGCTCCACCCACACCACCAAGCCACATGCGACAAAGGTCCAAGAATAAGTGGTGCCTCCCAGTCCTTACAGCCAACAGCATTGGGTGCCCACAGTTTGGCTGCAAAACCCACCCACCTATGCACTCTAGAAAACAGGGACATACCTTCCTCCCAGACACTCGGGCAACCGTTAACCCCATGCCTTGCTCAGCATGTGACCCCTAGTGCAGCCAGATATGCGCGCCTACTCCAATCACTACTGTCCATCTAGGACTGTAGGTGAGAGCCTGCACCACACTTGATGACCAACTACCTGGGCACCTGAGCTGAATTCATACAAGAAAAGTAAACTGACTCCTGGGTTCACATACTTAGTAACAGATCCAATCAACTGGCAACAGGACATTAGAGCTTCAAAGGCACCAATAATCAAACTAGCTCACATGAGCAGTCTATCTGGGCATATCAAAACAAAGCAAAACAAGAAGCTAGGACACAGTAAGCAAACATAAAATAAATAAATATAATAACTTATTGATGGCTCAGAGACAACAGTCAATATCAAATCATATAAAGAGGCAGGCCATGATGGCTTCAACAAGCTCCCAAAACAAAGAATCAAGAAATCTTATGGAAGAAGAGAACTTCTAGGAATTACTGGAGGTAGAATACGAAAGATTAATATATAGAACTCTTCAAGAGATCAGGAAGGAGAACAGGCAAAACGCAGAACAAGCCGAGGAACACAAAGACAAAGTGATAGAGGAACTTAAGAAGACTATAGAAGAGCACAATGACAAATTTACCAGGCTGCAAGAATCCACAGAGAAATAGCAAACAGAAATCCAGAAGATTCACAAAAAGATTTCAGAATTAGAAAACTCAACAGAAAGTCACAGGAACAGAATTGAGGCAACGGAAGTCAGAATTAATGTGACTAAAGATAAAGCACTTCACACTAACTTATTTGAGGAAAAATCAGATAAAAGAATTAAAAAAAATGAAGAAACCCTAAGAATTATGTGGGAATTTATCAAGAGGAATAACCTATGAGTGATTGGGCTAACAGAAAACAGAGAGAATTGTTGAAGATTGGTTGGCAGAAAACTTCCCTGATATCGTGAAAAATGAGATTTCTATCCAAGATGCTCATCGAACCCCACACAAGGGAGATCTCAAAAGAAAGTCACCAAGACATATTATAATCAAACTTACCAAAACCAAAGATAAACAGAGAATTTTAAGAGTAGCTAGAGA